TTCACAGATCTTGGAACATATTTAGAGAGAGTGTCAAATTTTTTTCTTTGTCGACTGCAAATTAAAATTAAAGGACTATAATAGAAATAAGGGCAATTTCTTACATAGTGATACATCGATAAAACTCCTGACAAAAAAGTTTGAACCATTTGTTGATTTCCTAATAAAAACGCTTTTCAAATTCTTCCGTATATTATATGTTGTTGATTTATTTTTCAAATTTTATTTGTTGTCAAATGTATGAAACCTTAAAAAATGCAAAGTTTGATCATATTTATGTGGTGTTGAAACCAATTCCTGTAGAATCATGACCATAATGGCTAATGTTGAATCAAATTCTGTTATTTATTTTACTCCATATAGAGTTAATATTTTAAGTATTTTTTTTAACGTTTCTTTGTTAAGTACTTTTATTATATATCTCTTGATAATTTAATTGATGATTTAATTCCTTTTTTTTGTGCAATATTAATATTTTTCTGATGGTCGTCTGCTTTATCTTTATGAAAGATATCGCGCCTTTATCTGATAGATTGTAACTTTCTTTTTTCGTTCGTTTTTCAATTTAAAAAATAATTCTAATAAAGAATATTTTTTTCTTCACAGTGGTTTATTCTCCCATTTTTTTTTCACTCAATTATATCATTACATATAACCTTTCGGGTCATATGACATCTTCAGACTAGAAATTACAACATATCGCTATTAACAATAATATGAGAACAATAAAGCATTTATCAATATAAATAATAATTATAATAACAATACATATGATAATAGTAATAATTAAATAAATAATAATTTTAAAATTACTACATTTTTAGCAATAAGACAAAGAATAAAACATTTTATTAACATGACAAGTCTTATGGAGAATTAAGATGATGCAGGATACTGGTAAGATTGGCAAAATAAAATAAAAATTAAATTATTGTGGGTTTTTATTTATATTGATAAATGATTTATTGTTCATATATAATTGTTAATAGCCATATGTTGTAATTTCTAGTCTGAGATGGGATATAAGTGGATCCCGAAACGTTATATGTAATGATATAATTGAGTGAAAAAAATGGGACAATAAATCACTGAAGAAAAAAATGTTCTTACTTATATGCCTATAAAATAAGTATCTCTCTTAGGATAAATGAAGAAATTCTAATAAATTTTACGAACATAAAATTTGACTGATCACATCTTTTTTTTTTATTTGTTTTCCACCCTCCCATGCCACCAGGGCAACACGGGTGTATGCAGTAGTGTGGTGTTAAACATTAATGCATAATAACACACTACTGCCATAATATCAGTTTACAAAGTTCTAAGCTGTGCACACAGCTAGCTCTTCTACTTTTTCCTGGCTCCTTCAGGCCTGGTTTCCCGAATCCGGAGGTCTTCCTGGGACTGGTCCTCTTCTCCTTCTGTGTGCACCTAGGTTGAAGTGAGCTGGGCCTACCGCCGTCTTCCAGCCATTTATAAAGTCTTTGAACCGCGGAAAGTTTTCTTCACTCACCAACTGAGGAAACTCCTCCTCCGTGAGGACGTAAATTTCCGTGGTTCTCATTAACCTCGCTCTTAATTCGTCGAAAGCAGTGCAGGCCGTGACCACATGCTCAACAGTCTCCGGAACACCACAAGCGGGACAGTTGGGATCTATATCCTGTCCGAAGCCATGGAGTTTAGCTCTGAAACCCCCATGCCCCGTGAGAAATTGTGAAACCCAATAGTCCGGGAGGACCCATTTCGCCTGTAATCGAGATTCAACGGTGGGAAAGTATTTTCTTAAGGTACTGCCTTTCGAAGTCGTCACCCACCGTCTGCTCCAATCTTCAATTGTTTCCTCCCGGATAATCTTTTTCCATTTATTTGGGTTTTCAATAATCCTCATCCGTAGGTTCTCCGTCAGACTAGTTGAGCCCTCCTTCTTGTAGTCGTACCTGGTCACTTCTTCTCGCAGGAGGAGGTCGAGAGGCACCACCCCCGCTAAGACCTGCACTGCTTCATGCGACGTAGACCTATATGCTCTGGTGACCCGAAGCAGAGCAGTTCTCTGAGTCGATGCTAGCCTATTTCTTTGTCTGAGTGTGAGGTTTCGGAACCAGAAGGGAGACGCATACCTAAGGATACCCTCCACAACACCCTTATAAATAGTGATAGTGGCTGGATACCTAAGGCCCCAAAATGCGCCCCCCACACGACTTAGACCGTTCATTGCTAGGGCCACCCTACCTGCCAGATATTCCAAATGAGGCGTCATATTGAGGCCTACACCTAACCTAACCCCTAGGTAGGTTACCACCTCACTTGGACGTATCCTCTGACCTTCTATGTACATCGTTATAGGGTGTGCCCTATCAGTCTTTCCCTTAAGGAGGATGGCTTGAGTCTTAGCAGCAGCCATCCTCATCTTCTTCCCCTCACACCATCTAGCGACTAGGCTGGCGCATCGCTCTGCTTCTCTCTTGACTCCAGCTCTGCTGTTGGAGGCCACCACAGCAGCTAGGTCGTCAACGTAAGCAGTGGCAGGAAACCGCTCCTCCTCTAACACTCCCAGTAACTCATCAAAGACGAGCTTCCATAGAGCAGGACCAAGCACCGATCCCTGAGGGCAACCTCTCTCTATGGAAGCTTCTACCTCGTAGTAATTGCCTCTAATCTTGACACTTCTATCCTGGAGATAACTTCTTACTAGTGTGTATAAGTTACTAGGAGCATCATACCTCTGCAGCTGCTGGAGCACGCTAGGCCACCATACGCTGTCGAAGGCGGAGGATATGTCGAAAAGAAGCAACATGACATACCGCTCCGCCCTCTCCTCAACATCTCTGCGCACTCTCAGCAGGGCATCAGCGGTTCCTCTGCCTCTGGTTGATCCATATTGCCGTGGATGACTTGCTCTAGCGAAAACAGGCCGTAAACTAGTCATCATGAGGTTCTCCAGGACCTTGCTAATCACAGGGAGGAGACATATAGGTCTATATGAATTAGGGAGTTGTTTGTCCCTATCTCCTCCCTTGTAGAGTAGTCTCAAATCAGCGATCTTCCATCTTCTTGGAAAGTATCCCATATCCAGACATTCATTGAAAATACTCAACAGCCGGTCTTCAATATACGTGATACTGTTCCTTAAGATCGCTGCATCTATTGCATCAAGTCCTGGAGCACGATTAGTCTTCTGCTTATCCACGGCAATACGAAGATCGTGAATGTCCCATGGTGGGCACAAATCTGAACCAGTTGGATATACCGTGGTGCGTCTCACAAAATCATCATTTTCGCTGTCCTGGGTTGGGTCATCTCTGGGATATATTGCTTCAATGAAAACATTGGCAGTTTCTTCAAGGGTGGTTGCCTCAGTATCATGATACCGCAAGGCTGCAATAGTCTGCATCGGGGACAACTTACCCAATGCTACCCTATACGGAATACCCCAGGGATTCTTCAAAGACTCTTCAATGATGAAATCGTCCCAAGATTTCCGCTTTTGTGAGCGAACCTCGTTTCGGTATATCCTGGCTTTTGACTTGTACTCATTGCGAAGTACAGTGCGCCTCTCGTCGCGTCTGCACCTCTGATATGACCGCCGGGCCTTGTAGAGGTCTCGTTTTAGAACAGTTAAGGCTGGCGTCCACCATGGGACAGGTCGAACCCTCGCCTTCCGGTGCTTGAGGGAGTGTTCGGCAGCATCACGAATGTTGTTGGTAATCCTGGACACCTTGTAGTCCAGATTGTGGACTACATCCATCTCTGCCGCTTCCCACTCCTCGTCTGCAATCACTCCTTCCAGGTAGGACCTGAAGACACTCCAGTCATTTATTTTAGTGACGAAACCCTTATCAGTACCGTGGGAACATCCTGGCTCATTTACCAGGCCAATTGCTATCGCAACGTGATCGGAACTCGTATCAGATCTGAGAGTCCAATCAGCAATATACCTCGTAAGCGCAGGCGTGGCGATCGTGACGTCAATCCAACTCTGCCCCATGCCTCCAGAGAAGGTAGGGGTGGCAGAGGGTTCGTTCATCACGACAAGGTGATTTCTGCCTATGAAATTTCCCATTTTAGCGCCTCGCCTGTCAGTAATATTGGACCCCCAGACCGTGTTCCAGGAGTTGGTATCTGAGCACATGATCACATTCCTCATCTCTCTAATGATCGCCTCCATAGCGGATATGCTTTCTTCTACATCACTATTCACAGGTAGGTATGCCGATACCAATGTGAAAGAAATCTTGCCCCACTTAACATAGCAAGATGCATAATCCGCCATGGTGTGTTGTCTCAGATCCATCACGTCAAGGTTAGGATTATTAATCACTATTGCAGCCCTGGGCCTCCTCTCTCCACTGCTCAGGGCTATAACTCTTGACGTGAGGCCAAACCCCGTAACCCTGTTCCCACGGCAGCTAGGTTCCTGGACCGCCATGATATCGTAGCGTTGTGCCATGGCGCGAAGCTCGTCAGCCACAATATGCCGGCGGCCCATATTCAACTGCAGGATGTTGAGTCTAATCATAGTGAGTTCTCCTCACTAATTCTTGAGATCTCTTGATGTGCACTGGGCATTCTCTACTTCCTGCCTGGTGTTTAGCCTTACTTTTTTGAACACCTTCCCTCACGCAGTTAACGCATGTAGGTGCGGTCTTATTTCCTTTTGCGGGACAGTTTTTAGCAATATGCCCACTCGCCGCACACCACTTGCATACTATGCCATTTGCCTCACAAGTAGCTTTTGTATGTCCATATCCCTGACACCTTAGACAGGGAGGAGCATCGGGGTAATCTAAGATTGTCAGTGACCACCAACCTCCTGTAATTATCTCCTCCTTGAGTAGATTATATCTTACCATTGGATGTACTTCTAACACCCAATTATTGGTAATTTTATTTCTAGCCATTGATGAGAACAATGGCTTTATATTACCTAATTGGTTCTCAGAAATAGCGGCCGATTTTTCAGCCAACCTTTCCCATAGCACCCTTTCTAGATTTTCCGCAGTCTATGAAAGGGGAACTCCTTTTACCTCCACTTTTGGTTTTCTTTTTAAGGCTAGTTTTGCCTCCATCCCAACTTCTTTTAATTTTTGCCATTCAATTATTTTTTTCGCATGGGCACCCTCATCTACACAAACTAAAACTGAGCCAGCTTTGGTCGCCCGTACAACTCTCGCCTTGACTCCTAGTTCAGTTGGAGAAGGCAGGTTGTTGATGATGTCAGCTGCACTTTTACCTTGAGAAGCGATGGTAACATAAGTTGGTCTTGTAGTATCCATCGGTTTTAATGGAAGCCCTTTAACAATATCGGCCATCGTAGTCTGATGTGTAGACCTTTTCTTGGTCAAACTTTCCTCTGCTATAGGTTTAGAGGCCTCGATCTCTTTGGCCACTTGTGGAAGAGCCTTTTTCCTTCTTTGCTTTTTCTTTACTTCCTGGAAACTTTCATTCTCCGTGGTCTCAATAAGGGCATCGGCTAATAGCGGTTGTTCTTTAACACATGGAAACTCCCGAGATGTCTGAGGTTCTGACAGTGGTCTTTGTATGGTTTTACTTTCCGTCTTGATTCCCTCGATTACCATAGGTACTGCTTTTTCCACTAATGCATTTACTATGATATCATACATTTCAGAGGAAGCTAATGTGTCCTTTACCACACGTTGTACTAAAAACGTTTTTTCATAGTTCTTATCATATATTGTCTCCATTATATCTATTAACTGCTGAATTTTCCCATTAACGTGCTTTTGTACCTTCGCACTCACGTTCCTGTCTGTTGCGTTCATGTAGACCCTGATGTTTTCTTTGATTCTACGTGCATCTTGCAGAAGACTATCGTCTACACGTTCTTTATCTGTTTCTTCTCGGGCGTCAGGAGATCCTTTCCTTTGCCTCTATCCTGAAGGCCTTGTGCACTTAATTGCCTGTTCTTCCACCATTTCCTGCTCCATTGCTGATGCAATTTCATCAGCCATCTTACGCAATCTAAAATTAACAACTTTATACGTTGAAATAATGGGTGAACAATAGTAGAAAGAAATATTCAACACTCAAAATCTAACCTACGTTCGGGAAACTTATAAATTTCCTATCTTCAAAAGTAAGACTTTAATATGAACTTACCTTAGTGCTTCACCAACGTAATAGTCTCTAAACGTCCTTTTGGTAAGATTAAACCTTCGTGAAAACCACAAAGTTAACCTTAACCTCCACTGTTCACTCAAAAAGTTTATAAAATTAACTAAATAAACATAAACTAAAACTAAATCATGTTCAAAAAACTATAAAACACTAAAATAACACAAACAGTAGGAAACGATACAACAAAACTAACAGAACAAACTTGAAAAATACAAAACACTGAGAAGCACAATAATACTTTATCATAGGTAGATAACCTTCTCTACCTGACTGATCACATCTGTCAGGATTGAACAACAAAGCATTATCAACTACAGTTTCCTGTTTGTGTTATTAAACTTTAGAGCGAAAGAGATTGGCGAAGACCCCCCTCGAACAACTAGAAAGCTGCTAAGAACAGGAAAGTGATGGGGTACGCAGAACTTTTTTCGGCATAGCTATCATTAGCTGCTTTCATCAGAAAATATTTGCTCACTTTCCAATCATTCCTTTGCTTCCCTAATCGGGCGATCATAAATTCTAAAAAAAAAAATTAAATAAATAAATGTATCAGAAGTTGAGATAAATAAATGTTTTAATTAGAAGGGTTCATTTCTGCATAAGGACTCTCGTATTACATTCTTTTTAAATATACTCAAGTACTAATTGACTGTTAATGAATGAAAACTTATCTTGTTAAAACTAATGCTTATTAATTAGTTCATTTGATTTTAATTAATTCTAAAACGTGTTTTAATTATTGCTATGCATTCAATCAACTGATTGTCTGGTAGTAATTTATATTGAATGATAGAATTAGCAATTGATATACTAAAAACTGTTCATATACCTATATGTATAATTTTAATACTACGTCCAATATCTCTTTAAATTTTAAACCGCTGCATGTGTTGTGCAACCATTGACAGTCATTCACCACATCTTGACCGAATGTATCAGTTGATAATTTTCCAGACGTATTCTTCCATAAATAAAATAAAAGTATTCAAAGGATAACATAATTTCATACAAAATGGAAACTATTTTGTGTATAACTATTTATTAAACCTGAACTGAATCGTTCATTTAGAATATAATAGAATATTAGAACTTTATTCAGGGACAAAGTCCCTTTAGATAAACAAATAGTAAAAAAAAAATCTGGCTGAAAGACCCGATACATTAAATAAAATAAAAAGAAAAAGAAAACATTAAGTTAAGTAGCTTATATAAAGCAAATAAAATTCTTCCAATTATAATATGATAAAAAAATAGTCTCTAGTAATCTGCTTAGAAAAATAATATGAAAACTGAGCACTTAGTCTCCAATAACTAAAAAAATACTTAAGTAAATTAACAATATGTACTTAACAAAACAAATGCAACAATGTACAACATACTTAAAACTATATACTATTCGATTGGAAAGTGATACAAAATATTCGAAAGATATCTTGTAAGAGAAAAAATAAATAATTAAAAAGGAAAACAAAATTAAATCTCCTTTAATGGATGAGTACATAGTCTCCAATAAATAAGCGAAGATACGTCTGTTATTTGCATCAATTTTCAAATAGATTTAAATAGCCATCCATTCAAGAGATTAATAAAAAAATTAAAAAATAACAATCCAAAAAACAAAAAAATAAAAATAAACATATATGTGCTGTTTAACACGTATACGTCAAATATGGAGCTATAAAAATTAAAAATAAAGAAGAAGGGGATTTTATTCCGTATCTTACTGTTTAGTATTTAGGAATTAGAATAGGAGAATTTTAAATGCGGCTAAGGAGGGGGTATGTCGGATTTGTAAAAGGAGGAAATTCCAGGAAGTAGCAGCAAAGAAGCTTTGGAATGAGGCAGATGTAGGATGTAAATGTCCTAGTTAGAAGTGGTAGATGTACCATGCTGCAATAACAAATGTTCCACCTACACCAAAATCGAGTATTAATCAATGTAAGTTTATATTTCACTAAAGAAAAAATATGTCTTATCACAAACTAGTCATCGTTAGTTTCATTTTTTTTTTTTGATTCTGAGAATATCTATGATTGATTTTTATCACATATGATTTTATCGAAAAATTCATTCATATTCAATCCTCGAGGCGCAAGATTATACCATGCGGCATATCATTATTGTTATGACTGGAACGAATCTTAAATTAATCTTTAATTATTATTAATTATTTGTAATATCTGTAATTATTAATAGTCATTAGGATTATAAGAAAAATAATATAACATTGCTACTACAAAAAATTTAAATTATAAACCTGCTTTATTATATTTATAAATAAAATGTTGATTTATATTTGTGCATTTATTTCTTCTAGTTGGAATAGGGGAGGATAGGATAGTTTACGGTACAAACTATTCTCAATGAGACTGGAACAATCTATCAATACCTAACGTTATTTTTCCCTTTTTTTTTTTTTAATTCTTGAACCTAATTTAAATGCTTTTTTTGCATTAAATATCTGTTATATTAGTTGAGACATTGACAAAAAAATATTTGATTTCTTATAAATTTCTTAAATCGAGAACAGAACTATTTACCACATTTCAAAATGTTGTTTAAATATTATACTTGAGTAGTGTTGCTCAGTTATTATAGTTGAGTACTATTATTTAAATGTTATATTTGAATAAATAAATTATTTTAGTTTTGATTGACAAAAAAAAAACTAGGATATTATGAGTAGGCGTAATGAATTTCACTAGTTTCAATAGATTTATCTGAATTATGCTTGATATTAAAACATATTTAACAGTTTGTAAAATATTTACGATCCCATTATATTATTTTTGCTATAAAAGCACAATGACACAGAAACCTGAGAAGTTTGCATTCAAAATGTGAATTTGAGAGTGAAGTTGAAATTAACTTTTACGGAATCCCCTTAAAAATGTATACGTTATTTTAACTAATTTCAAATCATAATTATTTTATGCTAGAAGATTATAGTGCAGTAGTAGTGTGCAGCGTGCTATAGTGGATGCATTATTCTGAATATAATAATACACGCCCATGACACAATCAAACATACTTTGAATTTATCACTGAATGAAGTAAATTTTCTTAATATTTAGTTCATTTGTAATATATTGATTTCTAATAAAACGCAACTTAATTTAAATGTACTAGTAAGACTTTAGGGGCTTACTGATATTGATTTGGAATCAATTATAAAATTATACTAATAATTATGATAAAACACGGACATTTCTTTTTAAATATTTTTTAATAGAAGAAATAAAAAGTAATATTTTATTGGTACTTAGTTGATTTTTTAATATATATATTATTTAATTAAATAATAATATTTTTTTTCAGGTACGTTTCGTCATGAATTTGATTGTTAAGAAAAATGTTTGAGGTATGTAGTTACTTAAATTTAATCAGTTGATTATTGTACGAAAAAAGTAAGAAATCAACAAAAGAAGATATAAGTCAATCTTGTTAGAACTTATTATTTATTGAACCTTGTCATACATAACCCTTACTTAATTAATTACACAAATATAATATGGAGGATATGTATTTACCTCGAATTATCTGATACATATTTATTTAGTTTTCAATAAAACTTTAGTATCTTACACGTGAAAAACACTTTCATGATTTTATTTTACTCACTGATATTTCTTAAAACGTACAATTTCTTTATACTATTTTTCTAATTATTTCGTAAAAGAACTCAATTGACGGTTTAGAAATAATATATATATATATATATATATATATATATATATATATATATATATAAACTAATTGTTTAAACCATAGTTGGGGAAATATTTTATCAGCAATTCTCTATATTTTGCTGTTGCCATTTTTATTTAACACTAAATACACACACATATAAACATATATTCAATTTAATCCTATTAATTTTTAAATTTTCGTAACTTATATTTTAATAATTTAAGCTCAAAAAAGTTTTGAGGTCGCTTATAACAATAATAATGAAATAATTTTTTTAATTGATATTTGCGAATTATAAATTTCTTTAATAATAAATTAATTTGTTTATAACCATATATATAATAATATTAAAAACGATCTATTTCAGATTCGAATAATAGCCGATTCTACTCAGGAAATTCAGATGGTATTCTATGATTTATTCCATTTGTTTGTTATATGGATTTTTTTTCAACCGTTCTTAAGAACTTGTGTTTCTTGTCCACGACCAATTTCATTTACGTTTTGTAAAAATAGAAGAAACTCCCATTAATGCTTAGGCACACTTTTTATTTTTGTGAGCAGTATCGTCTCTAGGATATAAGTTTGGGGATCTAACGCTAATATCACTGATCAGAATTAGATTTTTTAAAGTAGTGGACTCATTGTTTATATTTTAATTGTTTAAGTATTTTCTTTAGGGCATTCATAGAAGCAATGTAACAAAAATTAATTTTTGTTTTGAGTGAAGGGCTTCAGTCTCAAAATCTCCCTCTTTCCCTCTATATATATATATATATATATATATATATATATATATATATATATAGAGAGAGAGAGAGAGAGAGAGAGAGAGAGAGACTGCTTTTGCTTCTACAAAAAAAGATATTTATTAATTACAATTTCAAATTAAATAATACATTAAATCTTAAAACTATACCTATCTACAAAACAAAATCAGTTTTTATAGTTTTTA